GTGTGTGTGTGTGTGTGTGTGTGTGTGTGTGTGTGCGCGTGCGTGTGTGTGTGTGTGTGCGCGTGTGTGCGTGTGCGCGTGTGCGCACGCGCGTGCGCTAGGTGGAGCGTTTGAAGTGAAGGAGCACCCGTTCTTCACGGAGCTCGACTGGAACAGTTTGCTGCGACAGAAAGCCGAGTTCGTCCCACACCTGGAGTCGGAGGAGGACACCAGCTACTTTGATGGTACGCTACATCTCTATTAGGACGTGCGGTGATTCTGTCACACGCTCAAGTGACGCCTCATCTATTTTTTACTACCTTTGCCAGCACGCTCGGATCGTTACCATCACATCAACACGTACGACGGGGATGACACCAATGATGACGAGCCGGTGGAGATCAGACAATTTTCCTCCTGCTCCCCTCGATTCAGCAAGGTCAGAATCTGCTGTCAACCTCTCCCATTTATCTCTCTGAGCTTTTTCACACTGTCATTTTTTTATTACAGTCCTCCTTCCAGCTGGGCTACCTCTACTTTTGTCACACTCGCTCAGCCCTCTGATTAAATGAGAACAGAAACACAAATGAGGTCTGACTGGGCTTGAAGTGTTTTTCTAGACATTATCGCCCATGCTTGAGTTCCTCTGAACCTAAAGACCCTCATTGTTTAGTACTGCATCTGATTTTTCCCGCTGTCATTCATTATATCGATCTCTCACACTTAACCTCTTGCATAAGACTTTCATTGAAGAAAGAAGCAGCACCAATTTGCCGGCCCAACTTAAAATCACTGTCCAGTTTAAGGCCCAGGTTTGAAACTGTTGGCTTAAGATAAGGAGCCAGGGAGCCCAAGTCCACAGGATGTGATATACAAGGGCCACTGGGACCAAACACCATCACTTCAGTCTTCTTTTTATTGAAATTCAGAAAATTCAGTGCCAGGCAGGTCTTGATTTCCTCGAGACGGGATAAAAGTTGCCTCAATGAAAAAGCGACTTCTGAGAGTCATCGTATAACAGTGGAAGGAACTATCATGTTTCCTTAAGATAGAACCCAAAGGGAGCACATACAGAAAGAACAGCAGAGGCCCCAGAATTGAACCCTGTGGAACACCACATGACAGCGGGGCAGTTTGCGACTCAGAGCAACCAAGTCAGCCAAATAGTACCTAAAACACTCAAGGGGGCTACCGCCAATGCCCACCAGGTGCTGCAAATGAGCCAACAGAATGCTGATGCACTGTATCAAATGCTGCAGTTAAATCCAATAAAACCAGACACAGATACTCTCCAGTGTCATTTGCCAGGAAGATGTAATCCAAAACTCGTAACAGGGATGACTCTGTGGTCCAAAACGTTATGTTCATCCAAGAAAGATTTCAACTGCATGTGCACCACTTTTTCAAGAATTTTTTAAATAAAAGGCAGCTTGGAAATGGGCCTAAAATTTGACAGTACATCTCAATCAAGGTCAGGTTTCTTGAGCAAGGGTTGCACCACAGCAACTTGTATTTTGTGTGTGTGTGTGTGTGTGTGTGTGTGTGTGTGTGTGTGTGTGTGTGTGTGTGTGTGTGTGTGTGTGTGTGTGTGTGAGAGAGAGAGAGAGAGAGAGAGAGAGAGAGAGAGAGAGAGAGAGAGACCAAACTAATGCCACCCTATCGGATGATTAAATGTGTGTTGCAATAAAACAACTTGGTACTGCAGTTGACTTAATAGCACCCCAGATGGGCCAACTGAAAAAGTGAGCACCCTTCCAAATATGTTGATGAAACGTGCCACAAATATATTCTGGCTGTCAACATCACTTTGCTGCCGAGTCCTCAGCTGTTCCTTGTTACCATGGTGAACCGATGAAGTCCCTTCCAGTTTCTCTTGATTCAGCTCTTCCTCTTGTTGTCCTCCCCCGCACACATTTCTTTGGCAGGTAATAAGATGTGCGAATGTTTGGTTGCTTGTAGAGCACTGGCTTTATTAGTCTTGAGGTGACAATTTTGCCACCTTCAATGTGATTTGACAGCACGAAGCTGTTCATAGTATGCTTGACAACAGTAATATCTATTTATATTTGTTTCATGGTGCTGTTGTAGTCTGTTCACTTTTGGCCTCCGTTTTATTTTGAATATTATAGACAAAATCATGTGATCATGGAAAGGCTTTACATTGTAGATGACCAAGTACAGTCCAACCTCGTTGCAACGTACCCCGTTTACGTTTTCACTCCGATAGCATTCATATTTACAAAGTCCCAATTTCACTAAATGCATTTGCCGATTTTGCTGACAAAGAACACCTTTCCAATGTAAACTTTATTCTAACGACCAGATTTTTCCCACAAAATAGTGAAAAGGTCTTCGTTGCAACGAACCGTGGGAAGCTAACTGCCGCCGCGATCTTGCTTATGAACCAAATGTACAGCGCGGGATTCCCCTCCGTTGCTTAGCAACAGTCCCGATCGCCTCTGTACGATCGCCTCTGTACGTTGTTGTCCTTCCTGCCATAACTCACGGAGGCATGGCGCGGTCCTGAGCACATGGCCTGAAAACATGTCTGGTAAACGGAAGCGAATCTCGCTGTCTGCAAAGTCTGAAATTGCCTCTCGCTTTCGAAAGGGAGTCTCCCAGACGTCGGCCGCACTGGCAGTTGCCTATGGCGGGTAACATTTGCTGACTGAATGTTTTCAGTGATGAAGCACTACAGTTGTTTGTTTCATGCCTTATAAAATATTTTTTTCTTCTTATACACGTATTTCTCATCTACATGTTTATACTCCATTACATGTTCATTGTTTTAGATCTCTAAATGTTCATACTGTATTATACATTGTAGTTGGCGGCCATTTTATCAGAAATGGTTAAAACGTACAGATTCATTATGTCTGATTGAAATTTCCCAAAGCCCAAAGACAGCCTCCTGTGTTTTAATCTGTCCCGACCACTGGCCTTCCAATAACACGGACATTACATAATAATTCAAACAGGTGTCGGCCATGTGTCCTTATTGTTGCCGCGATGTCTCTTAAAGGTGTACAGCAGCATGGAGCATCTCTCTCAACTGGAGCAGAAAGCTTCCACTTCCGTATCCCGTCGGGAGCACAAGGGAGGCTCAAGGGAGGACAAGGTGACTAAGAGAGAGAGCCTGGGAAGCTTCAGCATGCGGGACAAGAGTTGGAGGACTGGGTCTCCCGAAATGTAAGCAGTGCGGCGAAAGCTCTGGATATTCGTCAACATTGCCTGACTGCGTGGCCACTTTCAGCCTCACTGAAATTCAACTTGACACGTGCTTTTGATAAAGTCATGCGTGAGTTCACAAACAAAGCGAGAGAAGCTCGCAATATGTCACTGAAGTGGTCATTTCTTTTCTGGGTTGTGTCGATTAACCTAAATCTGTCTGCTTGTCACGCTAAAAATCCACAAGCGATAGACTTCTTGAAAAGAATGATTGCGGGTTGATTTTATGCAAAGAACTACAAGTGCTTCGGTCGGACTTGATAATCGGCAGATGTGGCTCCTTTGCCCCTCTTCTGTCACATTGGTGTGGAATTGAAAATCGATGAGACTTCTCACCACCGCAGGGTTTCCATTTTTAGCCCGGCGAGATGAAAAATGCAAGCTGATCCCGGGAGTGATTAAACATAATTCCGCAGTGCCACTATATCTCTGCTTGTCACGTTGCGGCTACCTGCTGGTTTTATCCCTGAGAGATAAGAGTGCATATGCAACAGAACGAGTTTGCAATTAGATCCCATCACTCTATTTTAGCCCTTAAAGCAAAAATCCGCGAGCTCCATTCAAATTCAACGAATCATTCATGCATTCTGAATTCAACCAAGATTGAGCACATTGATAAGATGGTTTATTTATTACCTTACATATTGGATTTTCTTTTTTACATGCCATGTATCAGGTTCATCTCTCCAGTTATGAATCTTTTTTAACTTATATTGGAAAATGTTGTTTTTTTTTTTTTTTTAAACACACATTTCATCTGAAAGATTAGCAGGGGCAGGAATGATTGTAATCTTAACAATGATATGACGATTCAATGACCACCAGTCACATTCAGTATTTGGTTTGAAAGCAGGATCTTTTTGATTGCGTGGCGGTACCATTTTAACATGGAGAACGCTCGACCTCGTTCAACAGTATTTCTTCCTTTAAAGTCGTGAAACCGTAAGGCTCACGATAGCTCCATTTTTGTCTTCTTTTCAACGTGTCTTTAATACTCCATCGTAAAATTCTGTATTGTAGAATTTTTGAAAACTGTCAACAATCAAAAGACACCAATTCATTTTTAGTATTTGATCTGAGCTAAAAATCATCTCTCACTTCAGAAAAACGAAATCATTTTTGGGGAAAATATGAATGTGTAGGATTTAGGAGTACATTTGTTCAAAAGAGATATTCACAAATGAAGCGAAATGCTTTGACCGTCTGCTCTGTTTTCAGGAAGCGCCTTTCCTGCTCTGAGTCGCTGTACATGGAGGGCGACGCAAGTCCTCCTTTGGGTGCGCGGCGACGGTTCTCTGCACTGATGGACACGCATCGCTTTGCCTCCCCCATTGAGGGCGAACCGGACTTTGTTTCCAAGCCAACCCCCATCAGGGTTCGGGGAACCTCCCTGGATGGGACCGGCGTTCCGTCAACACACCACGGGGAGCCGAGGAACAGTTTAAAAGAGATCAACGGAGCAGGTGGGTGCAAGAATGAGTCTTACCTACTGTAACCACATTTACCAGGACTTTCAATATGATTCTTTACAGACAAGTCGCCCAAGCAAGGAGAGACTCCCGGTGTTGTGAGCATTAACACATTGGGTCCAGCTCCCGCTACAGTCGGTCGCGATGTGATGATGCCTCTGTATGACCCTCTGGGGGCCCGGGCCACCAATGACCTGGTCCTCCGGAGGGCGCGCCACCCGCATTTGTCTGGAGATGGAGAGAAACGCAACTCCAGAGCTGGAAACAAGGTCATCAAATCCGCCTCGGCCACTGCGCTGTCTGTCATCATACCATCTGGTAAGGGTGATGGGAAAAGGGAAGTGATGTTGGCATTTATTTGTCTTGCACCCAACGACAGGTGTGCAAGGAAAAACGATCCGGTTTCACTTAATTATTCTTACAATCATTTCTTTTCTACAAATCACGTATCTTTGTTTGTCTACTAATGCCAGCAACATGTCGTGATAAGCAGAAGAATAAAATGCTCTTCCAGTTGATGGCAGGAGGCAGAGAATTAACCGGCTATTGCTAACTCTGCCTCTTCCAGTGGAGCAGCACGGTGGCTTCTCTCCGTTGGCCAGCCCCATGTCCCCCCACTCCTTCTCGTCCAATCCCTCATCTCGCGACTCTTCACCCAGTCGAGACTTTTTCCCCACTGTCAACGTGCTGCGCTCGCCCATCACCATCCATCGCTCGGGAAAGAAATACGGCTTCACCCTTCGGGCCATTCGGGTTTACATTGGAGACAGCGATATCTACAGCGTGCATCATATCGTCTGGGTAAGAAGCGTGTGGTCAATGCTGACATCAATCAATCTTGTCTCAGTAGAGCACCAACTTCCTGCCTAGTCCAAAGATATTCATCTGTTGTTCGTGTTTTATTTATGTCATTAATATTCACCAATGCAAAACACAACATCATATATTTAAATCAGGGATGGGTAAAGAACATGTTTTGCATACACCATTTTTTTGAACGGCATCTATGAGTGACACCTGTCTGTTTTAACAATCTTGGTCTTTGAGCACATAAATTTGCACACCCTTGTTTTATTTCATCTAATCCTGTGAAAGCAGGTCATTACTGATCATCACAAAGATGTCTTTAAGATAAGATAAGATAACCTTTATTTGTCCCACACTGGGGAAATTTGGGGAAAATTGCGAATATAATTTGAGTATTTGAGCAATTGGTGAGTCTCATTTGTGTTGTCAGCATGTGGAGGAAGGTGGTCCGGCCCAAGAAGCCGGTCTGTGTGCAGGTGACCTCATCACTCATGTGAACGGTGAGCCGGTCCACGGTCTGGTCCACACTGAGGTGGTTGAGCTTATCCTCAAGGTAGGTTTGCATCGTATTATGTTGCTTATATTTGCTGAACGTGCCGGTGTTTATAGTGCGTGGAATTTTAATGACTCAAATTCAATAGCTTTTGGTCGTGTTTGATTAATTTCACATCTCGGGGGTGGGGGGTTACGCATAAAGTGCCTTAATCATTTATTGGCTCTCACCCACATAGAGCGGCAACAAGGTGACGGTAACGACCACACCGTTCGAGAACACTTCCATTAAAGTGGGTCCTGCCCGCAAGGCCAGTTATAAGTGTAAGATGGCCCGGAGGCACAAGAGGACCATGGGCAAGGACGGCCAGGACAGGTACGTGCAGCCACATCATTGCTGTCTTCTAGTATTTTGACACACGTGGGTTGTTTTGATCCCACATATTTTCTTTTTCCCCATGGTTAATTTAATCAACGGTATGTATTTCTGTTCTCTCTTTACATGGCACAGTAAAAAGCGAAGCTCGCTGTTCCGCAAGATCACCAAGCAGTCCAATCTCCTCCACACCAGCCGCAGTTTATCCTCTTTGAACCGCTCGCTGTCCTCTAGCGAGAGTCTTCCCGGCTCGCCGACTCACAGCCTCTCTGCCCGGTCCCCAACTCAGGGGTACCGTTCCTCAGCTGAGCCATCGTACCTGGGTAGGTTATTAGAATAACAATGAACCCCGATACGCAGTTCGCCATTTGCAAATTTACCTATTTGCGCACAGCACGGTTGGCGACCGGTTAGCATGTCTGCCTCACAGTGCAGAAGTGCAAGGTTCGATTCCGGCTCCTGCCTTCCTGTGTGGAGTTTGCCTGTTCTTCCCCGTGCATGCGTGGGTTTTCCCCGGGTACTCCGGGTTCCACCCACATTCCAAAAACACGCATGGCTGGTTATATATCTATTTTAGTGCTATCATGCGATCAAAACTTTTCCGAATTAATCATAATTTTTCAGAATTAATGACGATTAATCGCATTTTCAACTGCAATTTTCTAAAAAGCTTGCAAGAGATATTTGTTTGGGTAAGATCTTGAAATTAATGTCAAATCATCAAATAGAAAGTAGATTTCGATTCAAAGACTGTTCTTTGATCCATGAATTTGATTGTTGAACTGCTGAACGATACGCCAAAGACTTACAACGAAAATGGTTTGAATTTGGCTTTGCAAAGTGCACAAATTATTTGGGATTTCTCCAAATTGAACTCCAAAACTAATTTTGACAGCCCTATTTTTTTTTAAAGTGTAACAATTCGATTTGATTAAATCAAGCCAATTTTCCCATTCACAGTTTTTCATTATAACCCTAATGGGTATGTACTGTATCTGGACTTTTTATGCATCCTGGTTATTTTTCTCTTAATAGGCGCTTCATCTCAAAGCAGCTCTCCAGCCTCTAGCACTCCAAACTCCCCGGCGCCTTCCCAGCACATGCGGCCCAGTTCCCTCCACGGCCTCTCCCCCAAACTCCACCGACAGTACCGCTCTGCCCGTTGCAAGTCTGCCGGCAACATCCCCCTCTCCCCACTGGCCCACACCCCGTCTCCCACCCAGTCCTCCCCTCCTCCCTTACCGGGCCACACTGTGGGAAGTTCCAACACCACTCAGTCCTTCCCTGTCAAGCTCCACTCATCACCCCCAGTGGTCCGTCCCAGGCCAAAGAGCGCAGAGCCCCCACGCTCGCCCCTTCTGAAACGCGTACAGTCTGCAGAGAAGCTCGGCTCGCCTTTGACCCAGTCCAGTGCGACAGGAGGACTCGGGGGTCCATTGAGGAAGCACAGCCTTGAAGTGCAACATTCTGAGTACCGCAAGGATGCCTTCCTGTGTGAACTTGGCCTCCAGAGTCTGCTGGAGACAGATGGTGAGAGCTTGCCACCTCATCCTCCACCCCTGCCGTGCTCCTCGTCTTCCACGGGCTCGGAGACTCGTGTGCTGAAGCCTGTGAGGAGATTAGGCAGGCAAGAGTCGCCGCTCAGCAGGGAGACGCTGCTGGCTGGCAGAGAGAGGGAAGAGAAGGAAAGGGGAAGGGAGCGAGAACGGGAGGTCGGAAGCGAGTCGGTCCTGGAGCGATTGAGCCGGGTTGAAGCAGCAGCGCTCCAAACATCCTTGACGAGAAGGCATCATGCAGAGCCCTTGAGTTCAAGACCAAGTGGAGAAACCACGACTACAGCTACAAGCAATTCGACCAAAACAGTGGAAAGTCTAGATGGGCACAAGAGGTCAGAGAAGATCACCCAGCGCCCAACTCCGAAGCAACTGGACCTCAAAGCAGCCAAAGGTTGTAAATCACCTCAAGAGCACCTTGGGGGAAGTGGAAGAGAACCAAAGCAGGAGGGAGACACTAATAATGGTCCTTGTTTACGGAAGAACTCTGCCGCTACTCCTGACAAAGTCATTAACGCTACACTTATCGGTAGTCCACTGGCTTTGCGGAAAGCGTTTAAACCCTCAGGTATGGGGGACAGCTTGAGAAAAGCTGAGAGCAGTGACTCAAGAACTTCAGACCTGAGCTCCAAGAGCCCCAAACTGCCTGCTCGGATCCTTGCCCCTGTGGTCCCACCGCACGGGGCGCAATTGAGTCTGGGTAAAGTCAGACAGGGTCTGGGGCCTGTCAACTGCTATCGTGGAACCCTGGACTGGGAGGACAAATGTCGCCTGGAGGTTCTGGAGGAGCATTCTCCTTCTCCTTCCCCCTCCCCGACCGCGGTGACCCCTTCCCTCTGCGGACCGTCGCTGTGCAAGTCACGGCCCGTCTCCCCCGGCGACAAGACGAGCTTCGTCAGCCAGCTGACTACCGTGGCCAAGAACGTGCTGGGCCCAATCAAGCTGGGCTCCCAGGAGGGTTCCAGGAGCAAAGAGCAGCAGACCAAGGCGGCAGACGACAAGCAGGCGGCCACAGCTGGAAGATCTGACACGGCAGGAGGTAGTCGGGGCCTTGTGGCCGTGGTGACGCAAAGCCCTGCAAGCTCATCCCTAGAGAAGGCAGCCCAACCAAAATGTGATCCCTAAGCGGAACTGAAACCACAAACTATAATGCCTTCATTGGATGAACAATGCAACACAAGTCAAGCACTTAGAACGTTGTACATTCCAATTTTAGAGCTTATCAAATCTTATTTATTGATTCCAATCATTACCTTCCACCGGGATGAGAAAAATCCACTATAAAGGTGCATTATCTTTGGATTATTTTAATAAGAAGATTCTTCACGTATTGTGGAACACTTTATCAGATGTCTTTATGTGTGAGTCCATGTGGATGCATGTTCCTATGGTATGTACTGTACATGTAAAAGTAGGTATCAGAAGGTCGCAAAGTGCTTTAGTCATCAAAACTGTGAAGACCAAATTTAGTGGCTCTGTTTTGTTGTAAATTGTGGCACAGTCACTCTGGAATGTTTGCATCAAACAACATGCGAGAGATGACGAGGCTCGTTTATTCTGCATGCGGCTGTTTATTTTGGCCCAGCGGATGGCGCTGTCAGCGGGTGTCAAGTCTCACGCTTCAGTGTGTGTGTGTGTGTGTGTGTGTGAGTGAGTGAGTGAGTGAGTGAGTGAGTGAGTGAGTGAGTGAGTGAGTGAGTGAGTGAGTGAGTGTGTGAGTGAGTGAGTGAGTGAGTGAGTGAGTGAGTGAGTGAGTGAGTGAGTGAGTGAGTGAGTGAGTGAGTGAGTGAGTGAGTGAGTGAGTGAGTGAGTGAGAGAGAGCGAGAGAGAGAGAGAGAGGGTCTGTTATTGGTGGTTGTGGTGCTGACGGCTGAGGCTCAGCGCTTATCTCCTCCTCACAGGAGGGCCACCGCAGCCCTTCTCCCTCCCCTATGATTGAAGCCTTCACGCACATGCACATACACAGGCATTGCCATAGGAGGCAGCCGTGTCATCAGCTGATATTGGTGCATTTTAATCCATAACCCCGTGCTCTCTGAAATATGTTTGCCTGAAAGAGAGCCGAGGAGTGCAAACAGCGCTCAACACACTCGATTCAGCAATGACAAACAGAAATAAAACAATAGGGCACCCATCATATTAACTTTGTTGTTCCTGCTGAATAAAAATGAACCGCTTGTGCTTGTGTTAGAGGTCGCGCTCGCAGTAGGCAATCTGTACCACACTCAAGCATGGGGACATCTAAATTCTCGATTGTTCAACTGTATGTTGGATTAGTGTTGTGCTTAAACATGGTACAGTCAGTGGCAGAGCTACGTGGTGGCCAAGCCACCCCACTTCCAGGGGTAATTTCAGATGCCTGTAACTTTCCTGCCATTCCCGGGTGGATTCTGTATCCTCAGATCTCTTGATAGTCTACGATAGTTCATTTATATTAACTCCATACATACAGAACTAACTCACAATTGATCTTTAAAAGCATTCGATTCTTGCGATCAGTGTCAAATCAAAACCATTTCTTTCACTCAATAGTAAGTAACTTAACTGAGAAGTCATTGTTTATCATACCATCCACAGACATGGTTTCATGAAATAAAATGTTCACTTATCTTGAACCTTGCTCAATACATTCATAATACAAGTCAAAAAAGATCGTTTAAAATTGTGACAGAATGAGAGATTTTTTTTCATGATTTTTCCTTTTAAATATGATTTGAATGAATGGGCCATCAATTATAGTATATGGCTGTCGGTGACACTTGCTCTGACTCGCTGTTGGCAAGCAAATACAAATCATTGCATGAGATAGAAGTTGACCGTGAGAAATGGCATCTAGTAAATAAAGCCCAGCAAAACGTAGCTTTTAACTTTAACGTGATCCTGCTTGTATTATTAGTGTGTTGAGCAACCTTCTGGATATGTGTGCATTTTATTTCATGAAAACCTGACTGTGGATGGTATGATAAACAATGACTTGTCCGGTTCTGAACAGATGGCCAGTGCCAAATTTCTGAATGTCCCCCTCTCCTTTCCCCCTGACTTGGTATTTGTGTGCCCTTCCTTAATACAAAAATAAACATACATAGGACATGAACACCTGCGACAACAACAAATGTGTTGATTTGAGCCCAAACAGGTGGAAAACAGGCATTTGCAAAAATGTCTCAATGAATAACAAAGGGTGGGCTAAATATGAGATAGGGTTATATATAATAAAAGATATCGTGGTGTAAGGTAGCCAAAATAAGATGGTTACATGTTGCTTTTTAGTGTTTAATGTCAATCAGAACAATGATCGCATTCATCTCCATGTAAATCATAACAGTAGCTAGCCAGTTTACATTATGCAAAACTCTGTATGATGTCGGACGAAAATGATCTCACTTCAGTTTTGTCGTGCATTGTTTATTACCACTGAACTGCTTAAATCGGTTACATTTTAGTTTCATTTTAAAACGTGCAAACACGTTATAATAGACCAGACGGTCCCTTGTTTGACTTTTAAAAAATTATATTCGATCTTCCAAACGACTACAGATGTAGTCAGTCTGTTAAAAGGAAGTTTCATTCATGTAGAAAACCAAAATGTGGAGGGCACATGACGGTCACATCACTGGGTCATGAACAAAAGATTTTGTCTTTTATAAGGCATTAATTGATTTTGAGCCAATGATTAATTTTGTGATCCACATACCATGGTGTACAGTACTTCAATTTGTATTCCCACTGGTTTAAAAAAATGCAGTGCAACAAGGAGTTCATGCAGTTTGTTGTTTAATGGTACTGTACTGACCTCCAGTGGTTCCAGCTTGATTGACTGAAATGTGCAATCACAAACTGCGACTAAAACAAAACGGACCTTTATGTGGTGTAGAACAGACGCAGCCTGGTTTACTGAATATGCATTTATATGTGTCAAATGACCAAGTGTTAGCAGTATTAAACTAAAACACAATTGTTTTTTAATTAAGTTTTCTGCACTGAAGTGGCCATTTTCCTTGGGGTTATTCGCAAAGATTTCTCTTGAAAATACTGTACGGATCCAGATGGGGTTCTCTTATGTATTGACATTATTTTAGGTCCCTTGTTAAGTTTATGAAGAAAAGTAATTGTAATATTTTACTGCTGTAGTCACCATTTTCAGGCCTTTTAGAACAGTGGAGTTTACACTAGTGTGACACATTTGAGGCTGCAGAGTTTTACGAATGCACTTTATTTGGGGGGGAAAAACATTTGTATGTGCGTTACACTGAGGCAAAATTACATTTCTTGAGTTTAATGATTCACTGAAAACATTCCACTTTTAGTATCTGTTCACAGCTGATAATTTATTTATTTGTATCTTGATTTTAATTTTTGTTTGTGATAAACACCTGAAGTGCAGTGAGTGGAATAAAATGTGGAGAGTTGTTCCCAAATTTGTTTTTGTTGTTGTTGCTGTTGTTATGCATAGCCGTTTGCGCTGATAGTTTTAGATCATACATTCAAGTATCAAGTACAACTTTATTGTCAAATGTGCTGTATGTGCAACATACAGCACATATTCATTTCTTGATCATTCATTCCACATTGACTGATCACCAAAAGGTCGAATTTTTTGTTCCATCCTATTATGTGAAAATTTAATCGAATTTATGGACAGTGAATACGGCATTAAAACATTTTACATTTCACCCAAATAATTAATTAATAATGTAATTAATACAGCGATTCTCAAAGTGTAGCAACAGTATCACTGGTGTTATGCAGGCTTCCTCTGTGAAGATATCCCTGATTGACATGTTCAAACTTTGCATAATACCGTACAGTATTACTATGACTTTATTTTTCTAATGTAAGACTCTAAATGTGTTAAGTAAAGTTTATTTTTTACTCAACATTTAATTATTTGGAATTGTTTATTGACACACACACACACACACACACTAAAGTGTACAAAACATGAACTACAGACTCAACATTTAATTATTTGGAATTGTTTATTGACATATATATATATATATATTATAATGCAGCCTGTTTTCTTTATCCATCCTTTTTTCTATACAGTAGCACCATTCTACCCCTCTTTATCCATCCTTTTTTCTATACAGTAGCACCATGCTACCCCAACCAACCTTTCCACGCATATTTGAAACTTCACTTCCGTGTGTCGAACAAGTCATAATACAATTCTCAATAAACAGAAAACAAAATGAACAGGCCATGCTACCCCAACCAACCTTACCACGCATATTTGAAACTTCACTTCCGTCTCACTCGTCGGGGCCAATAAGGAGACGAGTATGACATTCCCCCAATCACCGTGCATGGAGTCTCCGTCAACCAATTGCATTGCGTTGAGGAAAACCATCAGGAAGTGCTTTTTCTCGAGGAAGAACATCTTCCCCTTGTATCGGCGGTTCTCTGTCGAACTATGCATCGACTAATTTGTTTTCAATAGACAAACTCGTAACATGATATAAGCTGATTTTTTTATGTTGAAAGTTCACGGTGAGGCTGGTTTGACCGCGAGCTTGCTGCCGCCGGCTATGCTAATGCTAATATCAGGAAGCCTCAGCCAGCTAATAATACAGCGAATTAAACAACTGAAAGAGTCACTGAGCAAAAAAGGGAATCAGCAAAATGAGCCTACGTACGACTGATGGAGCAGTATAACGGGTATGTACAGAGCTAAGTTCAAGCCAGCTAGCAATGCTGTACCCATATGTATGTTATGTTAAGTTAATGCATTCATGTTCATTGTGTAAATGCTTAAATAGGTATGACCCGATGACTGAATTACTTGGCGGGATTATGTCCCTGTTAATATGTGGCCCCAGATCGTTAAACATTTCGTCAAATTGTATAGCCATGTTTGCTGTGAAATAGTTCAAAGATGTGTATCTCCACTTTAGTGGGAAACAGTTGTCTTCAGTCAAATGACAGTCTCGTGGTTCCTTCAAATAGTTACTCTCATCGATTTGATGTTTTTTGTTGGGGAAGTCAAAGCTATTTATTGTGAGTCCCCATTGTTGTGCAATGTTGTGGTCGTAGACAAATGACTTGAGTTTGCACTGAAACTGTTGATGTTGCACCCATTCATACTTTTTCCTGGAAGTGACAATAATAGTGCGGCCAACAATAGTAAGTGTGCATAAGTGTGGAATAAAAAAAACCCTGCATCTCAGTTGTACTCTTGTACCTAGTATGAAGTCATTCATTACTAATTTGTAATTAACAGATTATTGAAGCAAAACTCACCTATCTGCTGCTGCTCATATATGTTGTCATGCAAATTCCAGCTGGCCTACTCAAAACTGTATTCATTATTATGAATGCGCGAAAATGAGAATAAAATAGAAGTATTACGGACACACGTAGCGTTGTAGCTTTTGTTGAAATGTTTTTGTTTTTAGTTTTTTTAATATTCAAAAAAAGTTGTAGCAACATGCCCTAATTTTCCCAAGTGTTTTATATTTGAACGAGTCATTCACAGCCACATCTCCATTGGTTAGAGGGTGTGCATACTTGTGCAACCACATCGTCTTGGTTGTCTATTTTAATTTTCCTTCCAGAAAAGTATTCTCTTTTTTCATTTGAGTTGCATAGTTTATAGTTCACATTATTGGTGAAACAATTTAAAATTATTGATCCTGTTATTCTTTTTTTTTTTTGTTTGTTTTCGATTTTAATCGCAACAACATTTGAACAGGGGTGTGTAGACTTTTCTGTACTGTAGTTGCAATGCTGTCAGGTTTTATTGAGGGGATTTTTGTTTTTTTGTACATTTTACATCTTGTGTTTCAAGTAATTTTCCTCCGGATGTTACTTTAAACAATGTTGCTTCTCATTCAAAAGCCTCTAGGCTTATGAATCTTGAGTACAAAGAGTCAATAGTTAACACTTCCTCTCACCCTCTTCGTCTTCTGCTCCCTCCCTAGTTGTTCTGTGTTGCAATGAGGCACTCCAGAGTCCAGCTCTGACCGCTGCGGGCCATGAATTCTGTTTCCCCCAACGCGGTGCAGTACACGGGCGGGGTGATGCACAGCGAGCTGGTGGATGGCCGGAGGCCACAAGCCCCGGCGCAGAAAGGCAGCTTCGGACTCAGACCACCCCAGAGTCCAGATCCCAGCAAAGAAGCAGGTGGAGAGCCTGAGGAGATGGATAAACTCAAAGCCAAATTAATGTCAGCGTGGAACAACGTCAAATATGGTTTGTTGAAAATTTGTTCTCCTATGAACATAATTTATGTGTCTATGGGACATCCTCGATGATGAGTCGTGAAGTTACTGATCTGTTGTGTTGAGGCTAACTTTGTTGTTTCTGTGTAGGCTGGACTGTGAAATCAAAGACCTCTTTCAATAAGATCTCACCAGTCACTGTCCTGGGACACTCCTATTTGCTCAACAGCGAAGGTAACCCATCAATTATCCATCTATCCAGTTTTCCACATGGCTTATCCTGTTCAGGTCCGCAGAGTAACAAGTGAAACGTACAAACCACAGAATGATACATTCAAGGTCGATATCCCAGCCGACTTTGAGCAAGAGAGTGCACGTTTATAAAAGCAGTCGTCCACATTCATACCAATGGCCAATTTATAGTTACCTCAATTTAAGAGGAAGCCGTAGGACTCAGAAGACTACCCACAGAAGCACGTGGAGAACATTCAAATTTCACACTGAAAGGCAGCCATCCAGATTGAAACTCAAAACCTCAGAACTGTGAGGTCAACGCGATACTGACTAAGCGTCCTTTCTGTGTTATCAGTCATTCAACGCCTAATTGTATTGGCCTTTTCATACCTTTTACTTAACAAAAAAGAAGTATTAAAATGGCACACCCACTGGGATTTAAGGGCAACGAAAGAGAAACATGTCAGGAAACACTATTGTTAGTCATTGGGGGGTAAACACTTGAGAGTTAGTCACGTGGCCTGACATCATGGAAAAGTACAAACGAAAGAACATCAGAAATAGCTTGGTGTAAGAAAAGTGGAGGCATGCAGACCAAATATCTTTTCCAGGATGTTGTTTTACACATGCATTTTTCACAAAGGCAATACTGTCAAAGAAATCACCCGTCCCAGGGTTTTTGTGTTGCCACCGTGAAACACGCTTTTGTTGACATTCGCTCACCAATATGTTATGTAAATAGTAAAACAAAAACAACAATTAAACTTAATTTTCAGTCATTGTCCTGATCCAATTGCATCTTTTTTTTTTTGTTGTTTTTTTTTTTTGTCGATACTAAAGATTCACTCTGCGAAGCCTCACAAGTACATTTTGAAGAAAAAAAATGGATCAGGCCATCCCTTTTATTCACAGAAAATGTTTGAAGCAATTCTCCAAACCGCAATGACACATTTAAGGTGATATTTCAGTTGAGCAAGGTCTCTTAACGATGAATCGATTATCAAAAGTAATGGATTCATTTCATCATTGATGAGTTTTTGATTGATCAATTAATCATTGCACTGCTCAAATAAGTCAAACATAAAAACAGAATCACTCGCTAATAAGCCTATCTCGGCATTCTTGCCTGAAATGTTCTGTCATTTCAAAAGAAACGTGACTGAAACGTCTGAGCATCTCATCAGATCAAAGGCATTCTACAGATGGCAAAACATGCTTCTGCTGACATGATAAACATCACATCGCCACAAACGTGTCACATGGGGACAGTGTACACACTCACACAGCCTCTTCTTCCTCCTCCCCCCCCCGTGTGTTTCAGACCAAGTGGAGCGCTTCCGTCTGGCTTTTGTGTCCAGGCTGTGGCTGACCTACAGAAGGGAGTTCCCCCAGTTGGAGGGCTCCAGCTGGACCACTGACTGTGGCTGGGGCTGCATGCTGCGCAGTGGTCAGATGCTGCTCGCTCAGGGCCTGCTGGTCCATCTGATGCCTCGAGGTTTGGCTCCCAGTCTATTTAGATCACCGGCCACAACACTCGGGACACTTGCTACCACATCATGAGGTCGAATCCAAAAGCTCAATCAAATATTCCGCCGCCAAATTTTCGAATGCTCAGATTTGATTGACACTGACAGTTATTATTATGGCTTTGAGTGTAGGGTGTCTTATCTGAAGAAAAATAGCACCAAAGCATGATGCTGCCACAAGCATGCTTCACTGGAGGTGTGGGTGATGAGCAGTGTCATGATTGTGTTAAAAAAAAAACAACAACAAAAAAAACATTTGGAATTATGTCCCCCCCCCCCAAAAAAAAAAGTTCAACCTTCAAACTACAATCACAGCAATGTGAAATGAATACATCTCTGACCGTGTTTATCACAACTGAGCTTTCCTATCTTTTTATAGGCAAATTATTGAATCTCATTGGATGTATTGGTGTACCAAAAATTTCTGACCAACGAGTATACATTTGCTCTTCAAAGTTAAAGATTAAAGACTGTATTCGGTTTGTTGCTAGGACCAGCTTTATTTGTGTTGTATAGATTGGACTTGGCCAGATGCTCAGCAGTTAACAGACGTGGACTTTGAAGCGTTGCGAATACGCTCACCGGTGCGTGTCGGTGGGGTGCCCATCCCCTCTTTCGGCTCTCCACGAGGGTCCGGCACCCCTGAGAAGACGCCGCCAAGCGATTTGACGCCGAATCGTAGCGAGAAGAAAAGGTTTGAATGTCCTCAGAATCGACAAGCCGAGCCCGTCCACCAAAAATTGCTCACCTGGTTCGGAGATCAACCGCCAACACCTTTTGGGGTGCACCAGCTAGTGGCAATAGGGAAGAGTTCTGGAAAGAAGGCCGGGGACTGGTACGGCCCGTCCATCGTGGCACACATACTGCGGTAAGGCTCAGCTGCTTAATGAAATGCTACCGAGCTTTGCATTTGACGTTGGATTCAAATGTGACTTGATTTGTAGGAAAGCCGTAGCTCATACTAGTGTTCTTCCCAACCTGGCCGTGTATGTCGCTCAGGATTGTACAGGTAACACTTTTACATCTCAACGTCTGCTCGTTCAATCTCCCGTTAACAAATGTTATGCAGTCTTTTCCTGATCAAGTGTGGGTTCTATTTTAGTGTACAAGGAGGACGTAGCACGTCTGTGTGACCCGCCACTCAGCCAAACCCCCCCAGAATCAGACAGCCACGCCTGGAAGTCAGTCATCATTCTGGTGCCTGTCCGCCTGGGCGGGGAGGCCCTCAACCCATCTTACATTGAATGTGTCAAGGTGATTGTGTGAAAAAAAAAACAACAACAAAAAAAACATTTGGAATTATGCCCCCCCCCCCCAAAAAAAAAAGTTCAACCTTCAAACTACAATCACAGCAATGTGAAATGAATACATCTCTGACCGTGTTTATCACAACTGAGCTTTCCTATCTTTTTATAGGCAAATTATTGAATCTCATTGGATGTATTGGTGTACCAAATATTTCTGACCAACGAGTATACATTTGCTCTTCAAAGTTAAAGATTAAAGACTGTATTCGGTTTGTTGCTAGGACCAGCTTTATTTGTGTTGTATAGATTGGACTTGGCCAGATGCTCAGCAGTTAACAGACGTGGACTTTGAAGCGTTGCGAATACGCTCACCGGTGCGTGTCGGTGGGGGGCCCATCCCCTCTTTCGGCTCTCCCCGAGGGTCCGGCACCCCTGAGAAGACGCCGCCAAGGGATTTGACGCCGAATCGTAGCGAGAAGAAAAGGTTTGAATGTCCTCAGAATCGACAAGCCGAGCCCGTCCACCAAAAATTGCTCACCTGGTTCGGAGATCAACCGCCAACACCTTTTGGGGTGCACCAGCTAGTGGCAATAGGGAAGAGTTCTGGAAAGAAGGCCGGGGACTGGTACGGCCCGTCCATCGTGGCACACATACTGCGGTAAGGCTCAGCTGCTTAATGAAATGCTACCGAGCTTTGCATTTGACGTTGGATTCAAATGTGACTTGATTTGTAGGAAAGCCGTAGCTCATACTAGTGTTCTTCCCAACCTGGCCGTGTATGTCGCTCAGGATTGTACAGGTAACACTTTTACATCTCAACGTCTGCTCGTTCAATCTCCCGTTAACAAATGTTATGCAGTCTTTTCCTGATCAAGTGTGGGTTCTATTTTAGTGTACAAGGAGGACGTAGCACGTCTGTGTGACCCGCCACTCAGCCAAACCCCCCCAGAATCAGACAGCCACGCCTGGAAGTCAGTCATCATTCTGGTGCCTGTCCGCCTGGGCGGGGAGGCCCTCAACCCATCTTACATTGAATGTGTCAAGGTGGGATTCTTTGTGTCACCCTGTTACGGTGGTAGTCATTGAATAAGTTCACATTCAAAGCGTTTGTTTTTCATTTCCAGAACATCCTTAAGCTGGAATGTTGTATTGGAATCATCGGAGGCAAACCAAAGCACTCGCTCTACTTTGTTGGCTTCCAAGGTGAGACACAGCTTCCCCGAGTGCCGTTTTGCTTTTCTGTTAATTTTCCAGAATATGTCAGAGCGCACACGTGCCTTCTGTTTTTTGTCTTCATGCCAAACTTGCTTGTTGAGGTTTAGTCATCCGAAAGTGTAGTCAAGTTAAACATTTGCGAAACAACGCACTCTGTTTGCAGCGGGATGATCACGACTAAAATGCCATCGGGGAAACTTCTGCAGGTTCATTAGCCAAGCTACTGTTGCTATTTAACTGCTTTTACCGACATGATAACTTGGCTTACAAACCTCTGTGTAATTACTTTCCAGCGTTGAAGGTTGTAAAAAGAAGGCATTTAAGAGTTTGTCAGAAAGTTCTGAGCTTGTGTTTCACTGTCATACTCTCTGGGGGTGAGGAAAAGTGCAATAGCAGACGATCGCCCCTCCATTTTAGACAACACACCATTTGAGACAGGAAATACACACATTTAGCTATTTTAGTTAGGAGGAATGATGAGGAAAACCGCGTGGAATGAGATCTATCCATCAAGTTCTACTCTATAAACTATTCTTGAGATGTTCCCACTCTCCACGGCGATTACCTGTGTCTTCCCTTGCCGTTGGCCAGATGAGCAGCTGCTATATTTGGACCCTCACTACTGCCAACCTGTTGTGGACGTCACTCAAGTCAACTTTCCACTCGAGGTCAGTTTCGCGCAGCCTCTGACGCCACCGTATGGTTTGTGTGTCCGTATCACTTGTTTCAGTCCGTCTAGATTTGCATTTCCCCTCTTCTGATCTGATCAGACTGAGACCAATTTGACTTTCACACTTGTGAAAGGGTGTGACCAAAACAGATAACATGTTTAATTATGGACTGCGGTTGATCTTTTCTCCCCCCGCCCCTCCCCCGCTACCATTTCTTCATTTAGTCCTTCCACTGTAGTTCTCCCAAAAAGATGCCCTTCACTCGAATGGATCCCAGCTGCACCATCGGCTTTTACGCCAGGAACAAGAAAGACTTTGAGTCTTTGTGTTCTGCTGTCACTTTGGTAAGTTTAATAGTCTCTAGATGCCATGCAACTCCGGAACAGACCCAATCGAATGCCCCTTTCTCGCCGCCTTTCAGCCATATTGGGACAGTTGGCGTTTATTCGCCTGCCAGATAGAATTTGCCTAAGTGGTAGGTTGCCGTGTCTGCCGGTTCAGTCACACAGCTGTTGTGGCTTCACAGATTTAGGTCATTAAAGGTATGGCACAGCAACATTTATTTTCAACAGAAAGCACCTCGGGCAGTAAATCTTGTCTGAAGCCTGCAAATTTGCAGGTGGACTTTGACTACCCAGTTCAGATGAACTGGGTAGTCGAAGTACAATTTACATAATAGAGAGGACCAACACATGTGGTGTGTTGGGTTTCAACATCACAATGACAGTATTCCACTCTTCCAAGTGTAATCACTGTCTGACAAAAGTAACGTGAAGTGACTTACTTTAAATGACATAGCACAACCTTTCAAATTGCTCGAGGTGTCCAAGTATCTCCAAGCAATCGAAGCGTCCCCATCTGATCTAATGGTCTTTTTCAGCTCCACAGTAACATTATTTTCACTGCTCACTAAGCATTATAGACTGGAGTTGAAGATTACAATTAGCACCAGCTACAAACTTTACATGCATCGGGTGCTTGCTTGGAATTACGTTTGACTGCTTTGCCCCTCTCAAATAAAAGAGTAAACGGAAACAATCATGTCTTGCCCGACATCGCGTTTCGGATAAAAGTGGGTTCTTCAGACTGCAAACCGCAACAGTATTTCCTCCAAAGTCATTTTCACAACGCTAGGACATCTTTGGAACACGTGCGTGCATGTTTCAGTGGTGTGACTTGATGGTTTTTTTTTTTTCCCTGAAGGGAGAAAATGTGTGTGTTTTAGTTTATTTACTCAAACATCCTGGAGGACACTATTTGAGAAAATACTTAAGCTATTTAAAGCAGACAGTGCACACGTTGTAATAATTCAACAAAAGACTGTAATCCCTTATTTGTGGAGATAGTTTCCAATGACAACACAACATCATGAAGCCAGGAGTCACAACAGCAATCTTCCAGTTACTGTCTCTTCAAAATTAATCATTAACTTAACTTTAGCATGTCGTCATCATCTTTGTCTTAATTTTATTGAATGTTCTATTGTGCCAGTGGCAACGCTTTCATATTCCAGCCGAATTGTCCCCATACTATTTGTGATGTCCTGCTCTAAGATCAGCTTTGGCAATCTCTCCACCATCTAGTGCAAAGATATGAAAACACCCCGCCAATGTTCAACCCCGCACGTAACCTTTGTCCCCGCGACTTGAACACATACGACCACCAAATTTGTGATCATGCTCAACCGGATGTTTGTTTTTTCTCGCAGGCCCTGTCGTCATCCACGGAGAAGTACCCGATATTCACCTTCGTGGAGGGCCAGAGTCACGATTATGGACTGGAGGCGCACAGCAGTAACCACACGAGCCCGGCGCCACATATCCTGCCCCCTGGCAATCCCACCCGGGTTAATCACAGACAAAACAGTGACGAGTTTGTCTTCCTGTGAGACCAGGAGGCAGTCGGTCTATTTGACTGGTGCAGCCTGACCTAGACCATAGAAACAGAAACTACTTCCCGGCATGAGTTTTATAAGCTAACATGGATCCATTTGTCCTTCATGACAGGCACTCTGGATGAGAAGTCACAGATAAAAGTAACCTGACAGGCCCCCCAAGTCTAAATGTCACATTTCCTTGGTCAGGGAGAGGCTGTGCTGTTTTCCCTTGGTGCGTTTGTGTGTGTTTCCTTTCTATTTGTAATTCTTTGAATATTTATCAGGCGTACGAGTGTGTGAGTGTGCATGATTAGTTTGAGCATAAAAGAACGTATCACCATGTCACACTGAAGGTAAGACGTCTTGAACTGCTGTACGTACATTCATGTCGCGAATCACAATAGCGCATTCATGATCGCATTCTTCATCTGCCGCTCTTTATTTCACGCAAGGGTTTTCCGTGATGGCATTGCTGATGATAGAACGCCCGATTCCATTTCACATTCTGGGTTTCCTTCCTCAGCAGTTGTACTAGTGTCACTTTTTATGGGGACTGATCATGATCATCTCACCTCATCTTTGCTCGTATGTAAAGTTTATTTCTACTGAAGGGTTGCACTGCTACTGATAGTTGTTGTCCTCATTAAACAAAACACTGAAATCACTTCATCTGTCTGCTACCTCTTTATGCTGCTTCACATCGTTCAACAATGACCTTTCAAAAAAAATACTCAGATAAGTTGGTAGTTTTGTGTAAGAACATTTCATTAAAACTGAAATTGAAGGCAATGATAAGATGATACATGAAAAAGCAGACCAAACAGAAGATTGTGTATTGAAGTTCTGTCAATTTCAGATGTAAAGTGATTTTTTTTTTGTCTTTTATATATAACGTGTGTGTGTGTGTGTGTGTGTGTGTATATGTAGTTTTTTTTAATCTGCATTTTATTGAGTGCATGGTTACATTTACTTTAAATGTTGTGTATGATGTTTTCCTACTGCCATTAGTATACACTGATTGGCCACATCATTTTCTTCAGTTGCCCAGAAGAAAAATGCCTTTGTGAATAATGCTCTATTTTAATTTGCACCTTTTGATTTATGCAGTTAAATAACGTACCCATATGCAGTGCAGTTCTACACCACTGAAACCGCAGTAATAAACATTCATGAATTGAGCAGTATTTGAAGTCTTGTATTGGATCTCGCAATTGATATTTTACACAGCTGTGATAAAATTGATTCCTGCATCATGTTAGACTTCCCATTATGTGGTAGAGAAACAGCTTCCAAAATACAGGTTGTTTGGGAAGTCTTTTTGCACTTACAGTATAATTTTATTAACATATACAGTAATACGTAGTTATCGGTATAAGGATACATATGGAGTACTAAATGTATACAGTATTACTGTACTTTAAACATGGAGCACCTATTTTCTGGTTTTGGTCACGTGACGTTTGCACGCTGAGCCCGTAGGTATTGTGACGTCAATTTTAGTCGACAGCAGGTGGCAGTAAAGGGCAAAATGGCAGCCCCCCTGTAATGGATGTCATGGCAGTCAAAAAACGGATTTTTCTGCTCAATTCGTATTCCACAAATATATAATATTAATCAGAAAACTGTGTTTTGACTATTCGGGGGACAGAGCATATTGCAAGGGAAATGTTTTGCTTGACTTGAGTTGACTTGAGACGTTATTACATGAAATATTTATTTTATAAAAACAAATATTTTTATTTATATTATTATATAATATTTTATTTTAAATATTCCAGCGCACAAATATTCGACAAAAAGGACAATAGCAGGGCAGTGACGACGTATTCTTGTGCCGCCGTGAAACTCCATTGCGCGTCGTTGGTAGCGGCTTACGTTGGCGCGGAGGTCTACCTGTGCGATATTCATTGTGCTTGCTTCCGAGCGGCGCCGTGACTGTCGACGCATGCGCACTTTGTTTGCAGCGGTGACTAGACATTCGGTCATCGGATCTGCGGCGGCGGTACCGGAGCAGGAGGAGGAGGCGAGGCCGTGGAAGTGGAGGCGAACTGTGGCGGGGGGTGGCGCTCGAGCCACGTCGGTGAAACAAAATCATCATCTCTAGACTGCGAACACGGTGAGTGGATTCGTTTACTGCGTGTCACGTTGATGCGTCAAAATGTCATCCCCACCAAATTCCACGCAGAAATCCATCACGGGTTGCCAGTTGTGTTCGTGCAGGTAGATCAGTCGGACTTGCACAGTCCGCCATTGCCCCCCAACCCCCCCTCCATTTTTGTTTAACATGCAGCGCGGCCTCACAGACTCTTCTTGAAATAATCCACCCGCGTCAGCGCGTGTTTTATGTTGTCAGTTCAAGTGCATCTGTGGATAGACGGTGCAGCCGCAACTGTTAATACGCACCAGGGGTGATTTGGCGCAGCAATTCATTAAGGCGTTTGGACAGAATGTACAGTGGACCTTTCATTGCAGCATCATGTCTTTCCCTATCATTGTCGATTTCAGTTGGTATTGACCCGATTAAATGCCTAAACATAAAATGTACACATATAGGTAATATTATATCTAAATTGTTGGGAAAGTGCATTTATTATGGCCCAATAATCACTTAGATTTTAAATGTATCGTTAGATATATGTTTTTTGCATTAAAAATGAGTGTGCGATCCCTGCTGCAGGAAACCACCGCAATGTCCACCCCAGACCCCCCACTGGGAGGCAACCCCCGTCCGGGTCCATCCCCCGGTCCAGGTCCCTCCCCTGGGGCAATGCTGGGCCCCAGCCCGGGTCCTTCCCCAGGCTCTGCTCACAGCATGATGGGACCCAGTCCCGGTCCACCTTCCTCTGGACTCTCCCAGCCAGGCCCTTCTGGCTACAACCAGGACACCATGCACCCCCTGCACAAAGTAAGGACAGTCAAACTATGAATTTGGTTCCTCTACCAAGACAGATTAATCTGGTTTTGGATCACCACTAGGCGGTCCAGTGGTTAGTGCATCGACCTCACAGTGCAGAGGTCGTGGGTTCGTTCCCAGCTCCGGCCTTCCTCTGTGGAGTTTGCATGTTATCCCCGTGCCTGCGTGGGTTTACTCAGAGTATTCCGGTTTCCCCTCCTCACATCCCAAAAACATGCATGGCAGGCTGATTGAACAGTCTAAATTGTCACTAGGTGTGAGTGTGAGCACGGATGGTTGTTCGTCTCTGTGTGCCCTGCAATTGGCTGGCAACCGGTTCAGGGTGTCTCCTGCCTGCTGCCCGAAGACGGCTGGGATTGTCTCCAGCATGCCCCGCGACCCTTGTGAGGATGAAGCAGTTCAGAAAATGGATGGATGGATGGATCACCGCAGTCAATTACTATTTAAAATAACACGCACACACACACACACACACACACACACAAATAACCGGGACAAGGACATGCCCATGTCCCAGTGTGGGACAAATAAAGGATATCTTATCTTATCTTATCTTATGCCAGAAGAATCTAATTTAAGATAAAGTGCAGCTATTGTTTCCTTTGCAAAATAAATCCATGCTGGAATAAATAAGATTATTTTGCACTCTACTGGAGTAAAAGTATCTACAGCAGTGTAATAAAGTGAAAGTATTACATTTGGTTGAGACATGGGTAGAAGCCATTAAATGAAGGTAATATCTGCAATGTTTTAAACATGACGTGTCTGATGGGGGTAACAGCAACAACAGTCCTGAGTTGTAACAGTTTTTTCTCATTGTGTTTTCAGTCCATGGAGGGCATGCATGACAAGAGCATGAACGAGGAGAGTCGCTTCAGTCAAATGAAAGCGCTGTCAGTGAGACCGGGCGGGCACACCGGTATGGGTCCCCCACCCAGTCCCTTGGACCAACATTCACAAGGTTGGCAAATCAAACACTCCATTCTTAAGTAATCCGCAACGACAACATTGTGCAAGTGACATCCCCGAGGCGTGTGAGTGTGACTTTTGCGCAATCAGGTAGTTTTGGTCGCACCCAAAGGGAGACTCTTTACCAACGACACATCAAGATAACCACAACAATTTGGTTCACATCTTCATGACTCCAGTTTGATAAGAAACAATATAACAAACAACATTTATAACACCAGTAAACATTACTCCATTTTCCATGATCTAAACATAATTGGAAAGCATTTTCGATGCCCTTTCAGAAAATATGTTGATATAAATTTCTTCAATTTGAACCAAGTGATGTGTTTTGTGCTGTAGGGTCACATGAAATATAATCCCAATATGAATGTGACATGGATGTAAACTTCTCCACCGTAACTGTAGATTAAAGGAAACATTACATTTTTCCACATCAGTTCTGCTCTGACATTCGTTTGTAAAAATTCATAAAGGATAAAGAATTACAGCACACTTACTTTCCACTAGTCACCCTCTGGTTCACATCACTTGGTTTTGAGGGAAGAGAGTTCTGTTTCCATGACAACCAGGGGGCGGACCGATAACATGTGACATAGCTACTTGTCACTATATTAGCTTTCTCCACCTCCCGACTGAGTATTAAAAAAAAAGCAGCGAGCAACAAATCTTTTGTCACGCCGTAGCTTCCGGTCTGTTTTCATGCCTCCTTTCATGATCCCCTGGTGTCTTCCAGGTTATCACTCTCCATTAGGTGGTTCCGATCATTCTAGTCCGGTACCATCCAATGGTCCTCCATCTGGACCTCTACTTCCATCCTCCTCCTCATCTTCCTCCTCCATCGGCGCTCCCCCCGCCTCCACGCCTTTGGAAGGCCCCGGTAGCGACCAGCACTCCCTGGGCCCAGGCAGCCGCTCAGGACCACTCGGCGCTTCAGGGCCAGGACCCAGTCCCGGGCCGAGCTTAAGCGCCACTGTCCCCACCCTTATGTCAGGCCTTGAATCCGGTGGTCTTTCTGGACCTGGGGGCCCCACCCCTTTTAACCAGAGCCAGCTGCACCAACTCAGAGCTCAGATCATGGCCTATAAGATGCTTGCCCGAGGTCAGCCCCTGCCGGACCACCTGCAGATGGCTGTGCAAGGGAAAAGACCGATGCCTGGCATGCAACAGCCCATGTCGAGCTTGACTACAGGAGCCGCGCCACCAGGACCAATGAGTTCAGGCTACAGTCGCGCTCACGGTGAGGACTTTATGTTGACCTTGTGTAACCTCTGCCAGAATTCCTTGAACTTGCTCATTTTGATTACTGTATATAAAAATATACATTTAACATAAAAAAAGCATATTTTGCCCTTCTAGGAATGATGGGCCCCAATATGCCTCCACCAGGTCCATCAGGTCCGGCAGTCGGAATGCAAGGACAGAACCACAATGGACCTCCCAAGTCCTGGCCTGAAGGTTTGTGGCTTCTATTGTGTTGCATTTTGGATGTGCCTCTGACACCTCGAGTCTTTTGTTTCACTTTCCTGCCTTCAGAGAGGAAGTTAGGCCTGTGGTGTTGCAAAGTGATGATGAAGTGATTTATGTAAACATGCTGAAACATTGATGACTGCAGTTCCGTGTTCATCATCTTACATATAGTCATTAAAGTTCCCAGAACAACCCAAATTAGCCACAAAGTCCTAAATGGTATGTGAGTCCGGACTATTATAACAAAGTGATAACCTTGCTAAAGCATGGATGACTGCAGCACAATGTTCATCATCTAACGCTCGAGAAATA